TTCTTCTTTTCTCTTTCCTAAATTAACCTCTCTTAAGAATGACTCAGCCCTTCCTGCAAATATGTTTCTGTTTCTACAAGTGTTTCCATCTCCTAGAGCCATCCTCTATTCACCTCCTCATAGCCTGACTTTATCTATAATTCCAGTACACTATGACAAATCAAAACCATTGTCTTAGTTGGTTGCCTCTGCCTAGAAAAGAAGCCACCATCACAACCACAAATGTCCCATCCTGCAAACCATTGTGTTCAGGTCTAAGGAAAAGAGTTTCCCCTGTTCCCTTCAGGACCTCCCAGCAGGACACTTAGGAAACTGCTCTCACATTTTCATACAATAATCAAGGGAAAACACAGGTGGAAAAGGCAAATTGGAGAACAATTTTTTTTACTATACATAAAGAGTCAACAGATGTTTGCTAAGTAATTCTCTTTTTAGTATAATTCTAACATGAACTATTCATAAAATTATTCTTTTTATTCTAAAATTTTGGAAATTCAACATTTGTTTAAGGTATAAGCGTAGAGTATTTATCTCCTCTTACTTATGAAATATAAATTTGTCTTGTGATTGCCATCATATACAGGTTTTCAAAAGTTACCACTGTTTTCCATTCTAACCAAACCACCATTGTACATTCATCCAAAAGAAATTCTTCTTTATTCCTGATAATTAGGTAATATAAATGTGATATATTATGTTTCTGTATGAACAAAGCCGAGAATTAACATTTTCTGTAAATCCTATAGAGCAGAGTAAATATTAAATTATTAATCATAGCATATATTCATATAAGTATTTTTACATGATTATAGCATTTTAGGGAGCTCTGATAATCAATCTTCTAGTAAGATGCTGCACTGCAGTTTTGAGGGCATGTGGTTGTAATCCACGAGCTCCTCCACAAGAGACAGGAGAACAATCTCCTCTCATGCAATTTACTGCCTCCAAAAACTCACTGAATGGTCAGCTATGAGTCGGTTCCAATTCACAGCACACAACAACAATTCTTTTTGAATAATAATGAAGATAAAATGTTTTGAGATAGGTGTTTATAAAAGAGGATCTTTTTTAATGGCATTCCAGCAGTTAAATCTGTTCATATTCATTCATATCTCTGTGTAATTAAATTCTGTTAAGTTTAAGGTTTTTACTTTCTTAACAATCACTAAGATGATTTTGTTTAAGCAACAAATATAAATAATTAAAACACTGCTGTAGGAAAACTTTTCTTTTTATAAAAGTATTCATCAAAGGGGGTCTTTAGTAAATAAACTCTATTAGATTAACAATGGACTGAAAGTAAAAATTCCCTACTAACCAAAGCTTGTTCAAAACATTGGTTGCAATCCCTCAATGTAATAACGTTGTTCCATCTTCCTTATTCACTCATTCATTTATTGTGAGTTCATAGCTGACCTTCATTGGGTATCAAGAATTTAGTTATTTGTCCATCTTTCTTTCTCAGAGCTGCTGATGTAGTCAAGCCATCAGAGAGGCCTGGTCTTTGAGTTAGCAGTGCAACTCCCTAGATTCTACATTTCCATTCAGGCTTTTTGTCTTCTGGGCAAATGCTGACCATTTGGTCTCGTATAGTTGATCATACTATGGAATACATTCCTAGGTGTTAACTTTATACTCCTATCTGTTGTGTGACCAAAAGGCGATCGCCTCTCTTTCTCTGTCTCTCTCTCTTATTCCCATTCAGTTAGAATCAACTCATAATCATCTTTACTGGTCTCTGTTGTAGGTATATGAATATTATTCTATCATTTATAGAGTAATATTTCATTATAGATCTTATTCTTTTTGGCAAAGAACATGATACTGTTCCTCTTCAATTTGTTACTCTGGCATGTTGTTGTTGTTAAGTGTTGTCAAGTCGTAGACAACTCATAGCTACCCTATGAATGATAAACCTGAACACTTGTATAACTTTCATCTTTTCTCCATCTTCATAGAGTTTCCGGAGGCAAGCTATTTCAGAAGTAGATGCCACTTCTGCTTTCAAGCTTGTTTTAATCGGAGAGCTCCACCAAACACTGTCCACCATGGGTAACTATTATCACATTTGACACATCAGTGTCACAGTGTTTAGCATCACAGCAACCACGAGTTACCTCTGTACAGCAAATGGTCAGACCAGTGCTATACCACTTAAAAGAACATTTGACCAAAAACAATTAAAATCAGGCCTGACGGCCACAGATCAAAATCACCAACCTTTGGCTTGGTAGCATCACTTTCTGTCCACTAGGCCAACAGAGCTCTCTCTAAGTTGTTGTTGTTAAGTGTCATCAAGTCATAGATTCATATAGATCTTCATATTGTTGTTGTTATGTGCCGTTGAGTCGTTTCCGACTCATAGTGACCCTATGAGGGTCGCTAACAAACAGATCTTCATATAGAAGATCATATTATTGTCTGATCCAAAATGGTCAATACCAGTTCATGTCTGCTCATTAAAGCCTAGGATAGACACCAGTAAGCAATTAAGTACATTCTTATACTATACTACAACCACCTTTTATAATATAAGTTCTTGCTTCCAGAAGACAGTATTCTAAGGGAAAAGAACTCGTCCAAAGAAGATCCTGGAAAATGAAGAGATACTTAACAGATGAACCATCATATACATACATCCAAAAGGAAGCGAGAAGCTGAAGGAAAGAAGTCTGCAGAGGTATTCAAGAATCCTATCTCAAAGGTCCATGTAGGGGATAAAAAGAAATATTTTAAAGATACTAAGTCAGAAACCAACAAGAGAGATGATAATTATCGAATAACTGTTGAACTCTGCTCTATACCACCAAAACACATTTTTCGGTAGTATCTTTTTCGATACTAAAAGCAAAGCCTCATCAAAGGCACTTACACTATTATTCAACATAACCTTGTTCCTTGACTTCCAACGTTTGTATAAAAAAAATCTCCATTGAAGGAGTGTGGTAGGCTATTCAAGAAATTAGTAAGTCTCTGACAGTTTGTCTTGCCAAAATAATTTGTGGCAAAAGCTTTCTCTACTTATAGTTTCTCTCTAGTAATCAGACAAAAGAATTCTCTTATCACTTCAATGGGCTGTGTCTCTCTTGTCTGATTTCACCATTCATCTAAGCAAGCCACAGAAAGAAAAGACATGAGCAAGAACAAGAACACAACCCTGGACACCATGGTAACAGAGTTTATTCTCTTGGGCTTGGCTCACCCTCCAAATCTGAAGATCCTCCTCTTCCTAGTCTTCTTCATCATCTACATCCTGACTCAGCTGGGGAACCTGCTCATTCTGCTCACTGTGTGGGTTGACCCAAAGCTCCATGCCCGACCCATGTATATCCTCCTGGGGGTGCTCTCATTCCTGGACATGTGGCTCTCCTCGGTCATAGTTCCTCGCATTATTTTAAACTTCACTCCTGCTAGCAAGGTTATCCCATTCGGTGGTTGCGTGGCTCAGCTGTATGCCTTTCACTTCCTGGGCAGTACCCAGTGCTTCCTCTACACTTTGATGGCCTATGACAGGTATCTGGCAATATGTCAGCCTCTGCGCTACCCCGTGCTCATGAATGGGAGGTTGTGCACTATCCTTGTGGCAGGAGCGTGGGTAGCTGGTTCCATCCACGGCTCTATCCAGGCCACCTTAACCTTTCGCCTGCCCTACTGTGGCCCCAACCAGGTAGATTACTTTTTCTGTGACATCCCAGCAGTGTTGCGACTGGCCTGTGCTGACACAACTATCAACGAGCTTGTGACTTTTGTGGACATTGGGGTAGTGGCTGCCAGCTGCTTCATGTTAATTCTGCTCTCCTACGCCAACATAGTCCATGCCATTCTGAAGATACGCACGGCCGATGGCCGGCGCAGGGCCTTCTCCACATGTGGCTCCCACCTAACTGTCGTCACAGTCTATTACGTTCCCTGTATTTTCATCTATCTCAGGCCTGGCTCCAAGAGCCCACTGGATGGAGCAGTGGCTGTGTTTTACACTGTGGTCACTCCATTGCTGAACCCCCTCATCTACACTCTGAGGAACCAGGATGTGAAGTCAGCTCTGAAGAGGATAGCAGCAGGCCGAGGGGCCACAAATGAAAATAAGTAACCAAAAGGTCAAGGTCCACTACCATCCTCGTAACCCTCTTTACAAGTACTGCTGCATGAGCAATGGTTTAATAAATCAAAGTTTATTTAAATAGAATTCTACTATAAGAGGCTTCTGTGCCAGATTCAATTAAATTGGCCAGAACTTTTCTACACTTTTCAGATTTGTCTCTTAGGGGAAGAGCATATCATACATAAATGTTGAATATGAAAACTGAATATTCTTTTTTTTTAACAATAAGCTAGTTTATTTTCATTATGTGGGCTGAGCTCTCAAATGCCAAGTCAGCATCTTTTGCTGTTAGTGGGGGGTTTATATACAGAGACTGTTGGTGGGCTCAGCAGATCAAATGAGGAAATCTCACTTTCATCCATTCACATCAGTCTTAATTTTCCAGGCTTAGTGACATTCAGGATTGTTCTGCTGTTCTCAAAACAAAGTAATCTTTCCAATAACTTATTTTCTATTACAGTGTATATGTATGTTTCCTTTCAGCCCCTCAAGCAATCTCACACAGCAATTCAATAAATTCTGTTTATTCTCCCTTGAAAATATTTGTCTGGTTTCCTAAGGAGTATCACTGCCATTCTCATCTCTAGCCATGCTGCTACCCAAGTTTTCTTTCTGAATCACAGAGTAAAAATTTCATTCATCTTGTTACATATATTCAGTGACTCTACACTTCATATAAAGTCAAACTACTTTACTTGAAATTCAAAGTCTACCACAATCTCACCCCAACACACATCATCTCCCATTTATTCTTTCCCTCTTTTTCCATCCTCATTACTTAACGTATTATTAACCATTTCCTGTTACTTTCCTGCTCTTCTGCCTTTATTTAAGCTACTCTATTACCTTCAATATCTTTCCTCCTTTCTCATATTGATAAACTGATGGTTTATGCTTCCTTCTTCACAGGAAAAACTCTTCTAACAAGATATTCTCCCTGATTGGCTCAATCTAAAGGTGTTTCCCTCCCTATTTATCTATTAATTTTGTTTAGTTATAATAAAACATCACTGCTTTTGTGGAATACAGAGTGATTTTTGTGACATAGACCTGCTTACAAGCATTCAGACAACTTACACACACACTGAAGGATGTTAGTTCACATCATGTAAACAATTTTAAACCCTTGACCTTCACAGTATATTGTCACATCTCACAAAGTGCCTCTTCTTATACCACTGGGTCCATGAATCTCAAAAATATCCTTTCTAAAACCTATTTTACTGAAACCTTCTCCTTTCTCTCAATTTCTTTCATTTCCCACCTTTCCTCCTCCCACGTACATTAAGAAGACTTCTGTCTTAGCAACAAGATCTCAGCTGATAAGGGACTCCAGTTAAATAAATACACATTAGTAAAATGGCTGATAGACCCCAAGGGTCTACAGGGCAGCAAATAGCAAATGATGGTGAGGTTGTGAAGAGATTGGAACTGTGTGTGTGTGTGTGTGTGTGTGTGTGTGTGTGTGTGTACCATCAAATCGGATCTGACTGGTACAGGAGGAGATTGCCGCTCCTTCTCCAACAGAGCATCTGGTGGATTCAAACTGTGCACCTCTGGGTTTGCAATGCAAACCACTAGGCCATCAGAGTTCAAGATTAGAACTTTTATTGACTGCTGCTGGGAATGTAAAATGGTACCGCTCCAGGGAAGCTCTAATGGCCTAGTGGTAAGGAGCTGCAACTACAATCCCAGAGGTGCACGGTTCGAATCCACCAGATGCTCTGCCGGGGAAGGAGGGACAATCTCCTCCTGTACCAGTCAGATCTGATTTGACGGTACACTCACACAAAAATAATAAATTTTTTTAAAAAAATTTTTTTAAATGGTACCGCTCCTATGGAAGGCAGTCTGGTACTTTTCCAAAAAGTAGGAAATAAAAATACCATTTGACCTAATTTCTTGACCATTTCCACTACTGGAAATGTACCTTAAAGAAACCAGAGCTACAAGTCAAAGAGATGGATGTGCATCCATGTTTATTGTTGCATTACTCACAATAGCAAAGCAATGGAAGCAACCCAAGTGTCCATCAACAAATTTATGGAAAAACTATGGCACACTCACACAATGGGATATTTCACTGCATTGAAAATCAATGAGCTCATAAAACATTACTAACATGGGAGAGCTTGGAAGACATGCTGAGTGAAATATCTCAGTGACAAAATGACATATACTGCATAACACTGATATTACAAAATAGGACTGACACAAGGGTTTAGGGGGGAGAATAGGAAAAAAGAATGGATTGATAATAAACAATACATTGGGGCAGAGGAGGGGAAGAATTGTCTGAAAGGAATGTATGATTAGGCATTATATATATTCCAACAATCTAGAACAAGAGATGCATTGCAAAGTGGACTAGAGGGCGGGGAATGGGAAAGGGAGGGACGAAAATCCGCAACAATCAATGAATTTTTTTAAAAGAAAATGGCTAAATGGTTCTGTCTCTTCAAGTGTTGTTGATGGATGATAGAAGACGACTACAGTAGTCCCATTTGTTTGTTATTGCTTGATTGTTTTATTCTGTGCTAGTTACTTAACCTGCCTTTAACCAATGTATTCTGTGATGAAATTCTAGTATCTTTTTTAGAGAGAAAAGAGCACAGTTTTTGAGACAGACATTGAATTTGAATCCTGATTCTGCCCCTTACAGGATAAAGTGATCTGGATCTAAATTCTAATTAAACCTTTTGAGCATTAGTTGGTTCATCTGAAAACTAAGAATATTCATATGTATGCAATATTTTAAAATAAGAATTAAGTAAATTAACACTTATAAAACTCCTAAAACACGACAGGCACTCACTAGCAGCAGCAGCATTTTTGCAATTAGTAGTAGTACTATAAATACCTGAAGATGCAAAAGTTTGAGAAGAATTGAGCCATAGATTGAAATTGCCAAGCTTGGATAGCTGTGAAACCAAAAATGTTCTCTCTGATAAAATGGGCCACATCCCCTACAGGAGACAGAGTGAACCATTCTGCTGAATGCAACTAGACAAAGAAACCAGATATATAAAAAGAATATTGACAAAAAAAAATAATATTGTCTTATCAAGCAGGGCAAGACTGGAAGGAGGACGACAGCACAACACAATATGTTATCTCCTTCTTATGAAGACAACAATCTCCCAGTCAAGGTATTCCTGCAGTGTGACCTAATGTTACCTCACTCTCAGTTCCTGATCACGAACTCCCAGTCTCTGTAAAGCACGATCCTGCTGCAGAGCCTGTCTGTCCAGACAGCCTAGCTGGCAGAAGTTATGATGAAGTTAGTTCCTTTACATGCCTCTTTTGCCTTATTGTTGCTGTTATGTGCCATCAATTTGAGTACGGCTCATAGAGACCCTATGAACAACAGATATGAACCCTGTTCTTTAGAAAAAAACTTGAGATATTTTTACAAGAGAGAGGGAGAGAGAAAAGGGGGGGAGCCAACTCACTTTCATCAAGCAGGAAATGACTCACAGCTGATCCTGCAGCAACTTTTCTACCGCTGTACTTCACACAGGAGGAGACTGCTTATCTTTTTCCTACATATCCACTGGTAAGTCCCCAAACTAGTTTTCTACCCTACAAAATTTATCCAGATTGATTGAAGTTGCCTGGGCAAACTGTAATTAATTTATGGTATGATACTTATCACCTGGTCCTCCCTATTGATTGATATGAACCTTGTATGAATTGGTCAATAGATTATGCAAATGAAATATCTGTATCCTACTGTTCAAATAAAGGATCTGTGGTCTACCAAAGAAGATTGGTCCGATTATGGCCCAGTTGAGAAGAGTCATGCCTTAAAATTGGCAAAGAGCTGTTGAATGTATGCCACCAACCTCATAGATTTCAGAGACAGAAGCAAAGAGAAGAGAGAAGAAGCAGGAAGGGAAAAAGTTGTACCATGATTCAAAGGATGTAATACTGAAGGCAGTGATAGGCCAAGAAGGGGTCCAGTGGCAGAGTTGGTGTGACAGTAAGGTCATGAGGATCCTGTCCTGAGGAGGCCAAGAGAAGCTTGTCTTGTGTAAGGATGGAGAAGCAAGGGGAGTCTGTGCTCAGGGGAACAAAAGAGTCCTATACTATGGACCTCAAACAGAGCATATTCTCAGTACAGACTCTCCCAGGCAGGGAGAGAGATAGGTATTTATCTCAAGGAAATAGCTCGTGGACTTGTAAAGACTGGGAATTCATGTGCCAGACCTAAGGTGAGAAGCTTCTTGCTGCAGAGGCTAATGAATTAGGTTATTAGATAAAAAAGTAGACTACCGGTTTAGGACGATGACAAAACCAAGGTCAATAGGTAAGACAAGCTTAATTTAAGTAAGCCAAGGTCAGTAAGTAAGGCAGGAATCAAGTCCAAAGAACCAGTGATGGGCTAGATGCAAGATCTAGATCAATTAAAAGCTAGAGTCATCCATACATACTCATTGTAGGCCACACCCTGGATGAAAGTTCCTTACAACTGATTAGGTACGCATAGTAGATTTCTTTATGAAGATGATTACATTCTTGAAGATCTCATCAAGTAAATATGTCATATTAATGTCATGTCATGTCATATTTCATCAAGAGAATGACTAGATCATAATTGCCAAACCTAAGAATCGTAGCTAGGCAGTCAAGCTGACACAAAACTTTAACCATCATAATATTAGATCTTAGAAAAGTAGAGCACTACTACCGGAGGGACAATCTGCGTCAGAATTGACAAAAAGCTCAGAGAATGGAAGTATGTCTGACTCCACTTCTTGGAAATCAGCTTTGCCCTGATCCTAATGATTATACCCCATGAAAGTACACAAGTACTGCCACAGCCACTATTTTATAGGAGTAGGGTCGCTGAGTCGCAAGCGACTCAACAGCACATAACAACAACAACATTTTTTTTTCACTTTTCCTGTGTCAATATAGAGTGAAATTTATTACTTAACTCAATCTTAATCTATCTCTGTTTTTTGCAAACTAAAAGCACATCAAAA